CTATGGAAGCAAAAGAATTATCTATGGGAAAGTTTCACCTCTGATAACTTAAATACACAGAGTCATTCATACAAAGTTCATGCAGAGGCACACCAGAAAAGCCATTAAGCGCTCAAGAGAAAAAAAAATTCACAACCACAGTTTCTAAATCATGTCGGTCAAAATAGGCAAGGGGAAAACCCAAAATTTGCATTCCATATTGAAGTGCATAGGAGACAGAAACTATTCTAGTGCAATGCACCATTAATGGAGAGAACAAAAATAATCACTTACAGTGCATTGTCACCTCCATTAAAGCTTCCATCAGCGATAAAAGCAGCAATTGCAAGTATTAGTGATGTCAAGTATGCACTTGCCGTACGAGCAACTGGAATATCAAATAAAGCCTTCTTATTTGGTAGCAGGGACTCGTAGTTATTCATAACACCCAGGCAACCAGTCCAATTGGATGGAACAAGAAAAGATGGACTAAGTTTGACACCATAGCGCGCAGCAGTTACTCTTGTGGTTACCTGCCATGCATGTAAGAGAGCAATTATTTAGCAGAACACAGACATCAGAAGTTTGGATTCGTCATGAAAATAAAGCAATTACCCCATCATAGTATGAAGTCGCAAGGGCTACAAGCTCTGAAATATAAATAAAAAAAATCCGAACTCCACATAACAAACACATTATGTCAATCCAATAGTATGAAACGCACCAGATAACCTACACTTGCTTGAGTGTATCTAAAGGTCAAACATTTATTGATCTTTACGTTGTACCAATAGCTGAGACGAGACTTTAGAATAAAATTTCATTTACATGGCAAAAAGATTTTCTTAGAAACTAAATATCACAAATGTTTGACATCAATAAGAAGCATACTTGAGATTTGATCTAAAGTTAGCCATCAACTCACACGTTTTAATGGAGAAATACAATGCATACCTCTGAAACTCCCAAAATGGTCAAGAAGCCACCAAAAAGAGGCACGACATTGGCCAAGTAATCATCAATAGTTGCATCAGGCTTAAGGAAGAAACCACTGGTCAAAGCTATAGTGCCAAAAGTTGTTACAGCCAAAGCTACCGCACTGATGTAACCCGAAGGAGTACTTAATTTGGTTGATTCAAATTGAAGATCCATTTCTGACTTGGGTTGTACCACACAAGCCTGAAAAGCAAAATCATCAAATACAGATGCCATTTTCACATGTAACCAGACGAAAATATCTGACTTAAAACATCTGAAATAACACAAGTTAGCCTTTCCCTCACACAATTAAATGCATTTGACTACCAAAAAATACTGAAAGAAAGAAACTAGGAGCTTCAGTTACAAAAGATTTTAATTTTAACACCACGGCTACACCTTTCCTTTTTTCGTTTTTTATTATTGATTCTGGCTCTTCACCTACATCACTGTACTCATTCCTCAAGATACAACCTCTCTCACAATCAATCAAGAATGTTAAATTACAAGCACACTATTGACTCTAGATACTGGTCAGTAGTTGCAAGTTCCGGCTGAAAGCTTCACAGCTTCTTAAACCTAGCAAACATACTCAACTATCAATAATGTAGTCCACTCACGAAAAAGGCATAGCGAAACAGTCTCAATTAATGCTTAAAAGGCGAAAAAGGCATAGCGAAACAGTCAAATTATCTTTTTAAACATCTAAAGTATACCTGCTTTACAATATCATTTGTTTTTTCTTCCATAAACCACAAAACGACCTCCCTTCCTGCAGCATCCGATAACTTTTTCTCTAATTTGGGGATTACTTCATCAATAGGCCTCCTCAAGTTTCCAATGAAGATTCCCCCATCTCCAAATCTCCTAACATCAGTTGCGAAGAACGTATCAAAGCCAAAACAATTCCTTAGCTGCCATAGAAAATTTATACAAACATCAGATACACAGAGAATATGTCTTTAAGATAATGAAGTAGCTATCGACAAGTACACCATAACATCAAAGCAGAAACTGCTAACCATGTATACATATCCAAAAAGATTCTTAAAAATGTATAACGCGCACTGAACAAATTGACTTTAAATTATGGATTTAAGTCATATGTGCTGACACTATAAATATTCTTTAACACTACCTGTGAATTTCAACCTGTGATAGCAGGTTAGTTATCATTTTTCCCAGAATACCAATTAATGCCAGAGGCGTATCTAGCCTTCTAATACCGAGTTCAACTGAACCCATAACTTCTGACGTGGTGCATGAATTCATGTGTAAAAATCTACTAAAATTGCAACAAATAATATATATAT